AGTTGACTTACCGGAGGTGTGTTTTTCTGCATTTTAAACAGGGCATTTCTTTTAGTCTGGCTGGTTGGGTGGATGTTAAAAAAACAGTGGAGCAGCATTACAATGAGCATTGTGGCAGCAAATCAAGCTGCAGCCCATGAGAGCATTGAAAGCCTGCTGTTCAACAATGTGAGCCACATGAATTCACGAGGAGCTCGAGAGAAACAAAGTTCTAAAATCTCAGTAGAACAAAACCAAGCTCAACGCGCACACCCACACCCACATACACACACACACACACACACACACACACATACGCCTGTCACTGTGGTCAACATCAGTGTGTCAGTACACAAATAACATTTTAACACATCTGTTGATATTTATCACACTTCAGCACCTCAGGATGCAGATGAAGACCCTCCCCCCATCACACAAACACACACGCTTTAACAAGCGTGCCCACGGTGGGCCTAAGGGACTCCGCACTGTGTCCCCCAGAGGCACAAGGCTCGGAGGAACACAGAGTCCTGTCACATTCTGACCAACTCATTGGCTTGAAGCTGTCTGAGCACACAGTCTCACACATACTGAAACACACTCTGCAGGGCTTGCAGTAGTTGAGAACGCTACGTTGCCATGGTGATGGGGAGTGATGTCATGGTGTGCTTACTCAAAAAGGGGGACAGTGGCAATGTTTATTCTCAAAGACGTTTCTGCACACAACTCAGGATCCTTGCACTCCAAGTAGATGCAGATTGCCACATACTTCCTTATCTGGCAGTTTTCTGCTGAAAGCCTCCAGCTCTACTGCACGAGGGCCATTCCAGCTGAAAACCCGAAGGCATGCGCCAGCACTGAGGACAAACCTCTTGGTTTAGGCCTCCGAAGTCCTAAAGTGCACACAGTCACAGAAAAACAGATGCATTGTTTTTTTGGCCTAAAATCTGGACACACCTCATTGAGTAACTGAGGTGGGATCATAGCGAGGTGTCACCTGAGAAACGCTTACGTGGACGCGCACACAAAACCACATAGATGCACGCTCCATGCTCGCACGCACACACACACACACACACACACACACACAGCAGGCGTGCCCCACACGATGCCCCACAGGCATCGCTGGCATTTGGAGGGCTTTGGCACAATGAGAGCACAGTCAAGACCAACAGCAGGCTCTCTGCCACACTGAGCAACTCAGTGGTCAGTCTCACGCAAAGGGAGGGTCGGTCGCCAGGAAAGAGTGTGGAGGAGGAGAGAGAAAAAACAGCATAGGTGCGAGAGAAGGATGGCTGAATGCCATGTGGGCTTTTTTGCTTTACAGTTCTAGCAAAGAGGGAGGCAGTGGCAGCTGATAACCATTATTTGTGCTGCCAAAAAACAGTAGGCAGACAACTGTTATTGCCTGTCTGATCAGGGCAGTGGTGGGGCCAGGTGTAATGATGGCAAGTGAACGAATACACCTCTCCTCCACATGCCAACGGATGCTTGCTGTTCCCTTCCTGCTGTCACATTGGCGTTTAAAATGGGGAAATGTGGAATAACTCTGCAACATGCCAACATTCGTCACCTGGCTGATACCGTTGAGACACTGGAAATAGGTATCGGCAAACATGTCCGGATGCAGTGAATTCCGACTGCCGGGGCCCTGTGTGAGGACGCTGAACTCACAGCTCGATGATGTTGCCTTCCGTCTGCTGGGTCACAATGAAACTGTACTGGAATCTCAGCAGAATATCTACATGTTTGTTAATGCTCTTACCAAAGATGTTATGAATTGTTGACTCTTTGGTTCTACTACCCCCAAGTGGCTAAACCATCAGATATTGCAGCTTTGCTCTAACTGTTGGATTGTTCTTGTTGAGTTTTTTACAAAATGGGAGAATTCAAGGAGCAATAATTTTGTCATTTGAATGTTAAATATCACATGCATCTTTTTATCTGAACCTGTGGTGAGTAGATTATTTAGGAATCAAGTTGATAGCAGGAGACTGGAGTGCATGTTGAGTTCCTCCTGGACAAAAGACAGCTGGAGTTCTGACCTGAGGGCAGGATTTATTTATTCTTTTTTTTTTTTTTTTTTTTTTTGGTTTCACCCAAACAGAAATGATCCCCAGAGAATTATAGCTGGACTGCGTTCCGTTTTCTTGAGATTGCCGGTGATTTCATCACCATAAAACTTCAATATGGCTTGATTCCATTCCAGCTGCAGCATTGTTTGGACAGAATGACAGTGATTTAAAAATCATCAGGGAAGCAGCACAACAGGGTTTCATCATGGCTGTGGAGATTATCAAACTGCAAATTGCTGGCTGCAAACTATTTTTGGGAGCAGTGCTACAAAATAGTCTTGGAGTCTGCTGATGGTTTGGACACACACACACACAAACACACGTACGCAACACTCTAGGAGCTGGAGCCGTCTGCCAGGTTTACTAATTAAACAAATTTACTTGGCCAGCATGCTCGACGAGAAACCAGACTATCTGATCCAACCTGCTAAATTTCCTGCCCTACAAACTCGGTGCTGATAAACACCCGTGAACACCAAGATACAGACCATTAAAACAAGTGAATTTGTCCTTTACTGAAACCTAAACTACCTCCCCTTCTATTTATAGCTCCCCCCTTTTTTGTTTTATAAAAGTAATCATGATTATCACCGAAAGACAACAAAGCTCCAAAGTGTGTACGCATAAGACCAAGAGCACCTTAATTAAATCTGCAATGATGTTTTATCAGCTTTGGGAGAGCGGTGTTGTAAATACTTTGTGTTTTCCAATGCTGCATGAGGTAAGGAGGGTCTGTGAAGTCAAAGATTTTGTTAAGGGATGGTTTGGATGTGAGTGAAAATGTCGGAGTGATGAGAAAACATTGAGCTGCATTAGTTTTTCCTTTTGATGAGCGTGCACTATCAAGACGAAGATTATGATGATGTGATGTGACAGTGAAAGCTGGAAGACTTTTCCTGTTGATTGTAATTGCAATGCTGCTGTTGATGGCATATTACACAGCAGCTCTTCTCCAGGAATAGGTTACGGCCAAAAAAGTCATTTTTCTACGCCTCTTGCTCTGGCTAATATAGGAGCAATCAGGCAGCTCCGATCAACAGTCAATATGCATTCCTTGGGTAGGTGCCAATATTTTAAAGAACACATTTTGTGTTGTTTTTTTAGTTATGAATTATTTGTGATATCACAGAAACGCCACAATTTTTACTGCTATGCCATGAATCCTACAGTGTCAAGCTGCCCTGCTCCTGTAGATTTGGATGTCATTTACTCTAAAGTGTTCTTTAACAATGCTTTCCATCTCACAGAAGCTCATGCAACAAAGGGTCTGGCACAGACAAAGTGTTTTTAAAAAAAAAAAACTTTCTTTCTCAGTTCATTTCAAACACATCATATTGATCTATAGTTTCTCTAATGACAGCTTCTCAAGTCACATGTTTATTTGGACCGGGGTGGTAGACCAGACCAGTGTACAAAGTTTAAAGGCAAGAGAAAAAGCATTGACCAGAAGTATACTCATGTAACTCCTCCATCAATAATGGACGTGGGTGTCGACCTATTCCTATGGTCTTCTTTTAAGGTTTTACTATGCTGAACTAAACATCTGTTGCTTGCAGGAGTAGTATTCTGTTGTGCTGCTGTTGGTGTACTCATCTAGAAGTAAAAAATGAATTGCCAGCATTCAGATTTGGAAGAAAAAAAAGAGGATAAAAACATAAAAAAAAGACCATTTTCAATTTAGGTTCCCTTGCTGAGATCTTAAACATTAAACACACTATTCATAGAATACATAACTTCGTATGAGGGTTTGTTTTTGATAGGAAAGCAAAAGGAAGGAGCAAAGAGTTTTAGCCTTCCTAATCTGGGATTCAGTCACAGAGGAATGATTTGAGTTCGCACTTGGGTGGAGATAAGGATAGTGAGACTGGATATTTCTTCAGTGAGGTGAAAATATGATTCCGAAATCTGCCGAACGGTTCAGTGAATAAGACATTTTCAAGCCTCTACTGTACGCGGCCACAAACAAAACGATACGGTTGTTGTTGTTGGAGTTTATCATTTGGTGTTCACCTGAAACACAAAGGCACTTTCCCCCATATGCAGAAGAAAAGCATTTTTTCCTCTAAATAATATTTTCCACTGAATGAGGAAAAACGTTAGCTGCCTGAGCTTTCCAAACCGAGTTAGAAAAAGTGAGATGAGATCTGTTGCCACTGTTTAGCCAGGATGGGTTCCTGTTGCCATGGGCAAACCGAACGCACTGCTCTGCATTTTTAACTTCAGATGGGCTGTATGAACTTGTGGAAGTCATTAATCTTCCAAAATAAGTAATGGAAACAAAGACAGCAGAATGAAATGAACAGTTTTTTCTTGACTGTTGGTGAACTTTTTAGATTCAGTGCTGCAACAGACACCTGAAGTGAGAGGATAATGTTACCCAAGAGAGTTTCTTGTTGTAGTCTTCTCTTTCATATGCTTGTGTCTATTTTGCATCTGGTTATTAAATCCACTTTAACATCAGTCATGGACGGGTACGGTTGTGTTAAGCACAATGAGTACATCGACTCCTTGTTTGTGAACACTGTCTCAGACTCAGTGTAATCCTCTGTTGGACTAATTTGCCTAATCTTCATGCTTCTTCAGATATGACGAGGACGAGGGGCCAATGGGACTCTTAGTTTAGTGTCTGAGTTAAATCCCCTCAGCTCTCCGAGACGTGAACTTGTTTTGTTGAAGTTGGGTTGTTGGATCATTGAACTGTTTGCATCTGCCTGTCAGCTGTCCTCCATGCTGGTGCTACATCACACACATGCCGTTGTCCTCTAGAGCTGCTGCTCTCTGCATGGTCCTCTCATACCAGCCGTGTATGCTACTGAGACTCTGCTTCATGGTCATTGCAACTTGGCTGCTCATTCGCTTTCCCCTCTCATACATTTCCGCCAGCCCTCCCCCAAGTTGACCATTTCCTCTTATCCCGCCTGCTGACTTTCTAGAGCCCCATATCAGTCCCTCCTTTGTTTTTCTCTTTCTTAGTTCCCCCCAACCTGACAGTCCCCCGGGGCAAGTCCCCCCTGGTGGCCCGCGAGGGTGACACAGTGGAGCTGGAGTGCCTTGTTTCAGGAAAGCCCAAGCCCATTATCCTGTGGTCGCGAGTGGATAAGGAGGCGCCCATGCCCGATGGCAGCATGCAGATGGAGAGCTACGACGGCGTGCTGCGGATTGTGAATGTATCCAGAGAGATGACCGGCTCGTACCGCTGCCAGACCAGCCAGTACAACGGGTTCAACGTCAAGCCTCGTGAGGCGGTGGTAGAACTTATCGTACAATGTGAGTATACGGACCGTAGGTATCCTCTGTATACATCTGCATGGGTGCCTGTTGTCAAATAACTTGTTGGAGTTGTATAAACTGTACATCCTCATATGCTGCATATTTGTTAAAGTGCTTGATGTAATTAGTCTTTATGACTTCTAACCCACTGAGACCAGAGTTGGACATCCCCCCATGTCTATACTTTCACACCGATCTGGTTTGATTGTGAAGGCTGTGAAATGAGCCGGCTCCCCTGGTACCCGCATCAGGTCTGAGTGACAACAGCTCCACCTCTTCCGCTAAAGAGGACTTTATCTGTCGAATGGGAGGAAAGCAGAACTACCGTGAACAGAAGCACAAAGCTCAACATTCTCATGTCCACCATTTTTAGGATCGCTGTGTGTATTTGTTAGAGAGGGTGTGCGTGCATGTGCAGAGGTGTGTGTGTGTGCACACTCGTGTGTTTTATTTCACATGTGTGCAAAAAGATCCACACAGACAGCATGCCATATCCCCAGGCCTTAGACCCCCCCCCACCTCTGCTGCTCATTGAAGAAGTCCTTGCCCTCCTCTAATCAGTGACATTCAAAGATGGCTTAACAGCTAATTAGCGAGCAGCTAATTTATTCCCGCTGGAATTCATTTTGTGTTAATTTGTGGACATTTGAAAAGATTTTTTTTCTATGAACACCAGGGTGTCACTCTTCACATGGCACTGAGGATGTTTTCCGTGACCAAAGACAGAATCCAAGACGATGAGGGAGGAAATAAAAGGGATCCTTGTGGGGTGATTATAGGAACTAGAAAAAGCGTATATTTTACCCTGTATTGTTTACCCGTGGCCCACTTACCGCAGCTAATACACAAATGCATCCATCTCAACTTGCAGTTGCTTCCTCATCAAAAAAGAACCAGTGCGACAGGATGTCTTTTCTAAGATACTGTTAAGCGTGTAACGATTAACATGTTCTTTGTCGGCTTTCAAGTGTTTTTTTGTCATCACTGGACTCATCAAACCTGAGACTGCAGAAAAACAACTTTTAAAGTATTAATTATGGAACAGATTTAAAACTACAGCTTAACAGTTGTTTCTGATTGAAGATGAACTTGACACAGACACAATAAATATTGTGATTGAAGAGGAAGAAGAGCTGTTTGCCCGGTTCTGTTTTGGTCCACAAGGATTACCACGTAATTCTCCCCTCATTTTTTTCTATTTAAAGAGTTTTTAAAGGACTCTTTTGCTGTGGCATTCATGCTCCAGCTTAACTGTTCCCCACATCGCTGTGTTGACGGAATTAATGAAGTTTTGATGCGCTTTGAAGAAGGCTGTGAGGATTTTTTGGGGGGCCGAATTGATAGCGATTATGCAGAGATGACAGCCAGAATCAAAGGTTAGTGGCTGTGTTATGCGCCAATGCTGACACCAAAAAGTAAACAAAGGATTTAGACGCCAAGATGCCCTTCATTAATTAGAAGCTCTGTGTGGAATCCGCTGCTTCGTGCTTTGCGGGTCTGGTGGGATGGAACAAACTGCCGAATGCAAAATTCAATAAACAAATCACATCTTATTTATTTTTTAGCAAGACCCAAAGTAGACAAGGCAAACAGCTGCTGTGTGTTCATGCTCCATCCTCATGGCAGGCAGTTTCTCCATATTTTAGTGATGGTTGAAAAATAGATGGCGTCGCCTCTCCGTTCCCAGCCCCCCCTCACAGGGGACCAGTTTACAGCAGTAGGTCAGCGTGACCCAGCTTCCATTTGGAGACCAGCAGAGCCACTCAATGCATTCTGGGTAAAATATGTCTCAGCACAATAACTCCAGGAGAAGAAAAAAAAGATAAATAGGCACTGTCCAGAAGCTCTTTGGTTATTCAAGGTAATTACACGGCATTTATGAAAAGCTCTTTGCTGTCAAAACTTATGCAGTGTGTCCCTGCACACCAGCGACATATGAATAATTGACTCGTAACACATGTAAACATAGTCTGATTAAAATTGAACATCAAGTTTAACTTCCTTTTTTCCACTACTGAAGAATTGTTGGGAGCAGACAGAGGTTCCACAGTGTCCAGCACTCATGACTGTTACCTGGCTGTTCACCTTGTCGATACCTTTTAAACTTTGCTGTACTCACAATTAACGTAATTTTCTTATAACTTGGTTGAAATGGTCTTGCCTTGAACTAGTCTCACATTTTAAATATCAACTTTACCAGGGTGAAGAGTCAAACTCCATCTGCAAGAGACACAAGCTGTGGTGTTATCTCAAAAGAAAGCTCCCAGTTAAATAAACTGCTTTGAAAGTTTTGCTAGATGTCAATACAAAAACACAAAAATTGTAATGTACTGTGCTAAAGTCTCGAGGCTCTCCTCATTTATTTTCATTGGGTTGCTTGAAAGATATAAAACAGAAGAAGCCATTTGAAGCATGAGCATACATCAATGAAAATACAGCATGTAAAGAGAGAACAAAGCCTGAGCAATTCTGATTAGCCTTAAAGTCAGTTTTTCAAATGAGCACCTTTATTCTTCAACACTGTCTGAACCCTCTTAGGCAAGTTTTCCTGTCATTTCTTTAAGTAGTCTTCAGGAATAGTTCTCCAGGCTTCTTGAAGGACATCCAAAAGCACTTATTTTTTTCTCCTTTTTTCTTTTTTGTTCTCTGTCAAGATGATACGGCTTCAATAATGTTGAGGCAGGGTCTGGGAAGGATTCATAACTCCATTTAGATCTAATGCCACTGATTTTCAGTTCCCTTTTCTGTGTTATTTGCCATATTTCACACCTTTCCTCCAAGTTTTCCTTCCTTAAGAATGGCTTTCTTTATAGCTTTTTGGAACCCATTTCTGATAAAGCTTCAATGAACGGTTGATGAATTTTCAAGGAGACAAAGAACGGCCATGCAAAGAAATTATGCCGAATCATCAGCCAGTCTCATTTTTGAAGTCACAATCTTTTACTAAATAAATCTTATTTTTTTCTGTCAGACTGTGCTATAGTTAGGATTTCCTTGAATGAAAGAAATAAAAAAATGTGAGACTGCCAATGCACCAAAAAATGATATAAAAAAGGATAGTTGTCTGTCATTTTGAGACGGCTAATCCTTTAAATAAGATGTCTTTTTACTGCTTGAGTGGTCCATTAGGTCAGTGTTAAGTGGCTTAACAAATAAGAAGAAGCATGCTCTCCTGAAGATGGCCGGCTACAAGGACTGAACAGAAAATAAGTGAGAAAAACCTTTAGAGAGCCTGGAGAACTATTGCTCAAGACCCCTATTAATACAGACATGAATGCCTGCAAATGAGAAAGACAAGATCCGTGCAAAGTAGGTTATATGCACCAAATTTTCAAGTGATAGTAAAAGACAGTATGTTCTTAGATGACCAAAGTTATTATCAGTTAAAGGTCAGACTGCTCATTTGGCATAATGTTAATGGTCCCACCATGCATCTAGTTAGTCCTTTAAAATGTACTTGCATATTATATATCATACCAATAAAAATGTAATAAACCTATTCATTAATTACCCACACAGAGATTAAAACACGTTTTTTTTCTTCTGCTAATATTCACCTGCTGTTTGTGAGACAAATATCAACACAAATTCCTTGCCAAAGCAAATTAACGTGATGAAGGACTGAGCTTCTGGCACAACAGGAGCAGCACCCACCAGTGATTGTACGGCCATCAGTGTGAAAGAGTGTATGGAAAGTTTGGACCGAAGCCAGGCAAACTTTCCCATACTTGAAGCTCAGTCTGTAAAAAACAAGAAAAAGTCACGTGTTATTACAACTAATGAAAGAAATTAGAAAGCAAACTAGATTAAACAAACAGATTTTTGTTGGGAGATTCTTTTAGGGTCTGCTATCCTTTGAATGACCTCGTCTCAGAGCTCACCAACGAGGTCATTAGGCCAGCTTGCTCTCCTCTGATATCCAGCTATGAGAGGCCAGATCCTGCTTGCTCCTTTCATCCTTCCTTATCACCAGCAGTAGCCGGGGGACACATGCAGGAAATGGCTGTTAGTGACACTCAGAGGGAGAAGACATGCCTCAAGAAACAAGCAGGGGGAGACTCTGCACCAAAGACTTTAGCTGAGAAATACATTTATTCCATTCTTCCCCCCCCCCCCCAAACAAATGTACATTAAGATGTGGTTACATCATGGGTTGACTGTCCGAGGCAAACTGTAAAGCATGCCAGTTCTACGCAAACAATTCTCTCTCCTCTTTTCAATCCAACAATTATATCGTGTCATATAGTGCTATTTTGAAAAAGCACCTCTCTTTTGCTACAGTTCTTGATGTCCCAAAACCCTTTCATCTGCTCTCCATCTTCAAAGCAGAACATTTGATACAGATACTTTTTAAGGCTTTGATATTAATGAATACATTATTTTGCCATGTTCTTTGCTTCACAGCCAGTTTTCTTTGTCAGACTCTTGTTTCTTTATTTTTTATTCCTTAATAGCTGGCTTCAAAGCCCCAAGTTTAAAAAGCACTTGAGCTATTAGATTGCTCTGACACACTTGGGGTATGATTAGTAAATGCGTCTGCCTCCTGTACGCGTCAGCACATGCTGTCGTCCACGTTTGCCAAACAACCAGACCTTTGCTCATCTTCCACAGCTTGAGAATTTACTTTATTAACACAGGCTGGCCCTTCTTTTGTTGTTTGCTCCAAATGCCTGTTGGTATGCCTCCTCCTCTCTTTTCCTTTCTCTTTTGGCCTGTCTTACAGTGCGTAAGCACAAGCCAATCCCTCTGAGATGCTTTTCTCGTCTGCATTTCCAGGTCCCAGCATGAGACGCCTGCATTTGGTGGTGAGCCATGTGCAAAGCCGCGTTTAGTAACTTGATCAAGGGGCCGAGGTACAGTCCTCTGAAGCAAAGAGCATTAGAGGCGTGAAGGAACGACTGGCAAGTCAACAGCTTTGATATGTAAAAACCTGCATCTGTTGGCTGGCAGAGGCGACGCCAGGAGGAGAGGTGGAGGGAAGGGAGGGCGCCTTCCTT